TGACACCACTGCACTCTACCCAGGGTGACAGAGTGAGACTCTGTCTCAAAAACAAACAAACAAAAAGAAAAACCTACAATGAAATGTCACATTCACTAGGATGGCTATAATAAATTGTTAAATGAAAAATAACAAGAGTTGGCAAGGATATGGAGAAATTGAAACCCTTGTACATTACTGGTGGGACTGTAAAACAGTTCTTGCTATGTAGCCACTGTGGAAAACAGTTTGGAAAAAAAGTTAAGCATAGAGTTACCTCATGCCCAGCAATTCTACTCCTAAGTATAAACCCAAGAGACTTGAATACACATTTCCACACAAAAACTTTTACAAATGTTCACAGCAGTATTATTCATGACAGCCAAAAAAGTGGAAACAGCCAAAATATCCATCAAGTGCAAATAAATAAATGAAATGTGCTATATATATTTCATTGGAATATTTTTCAGCCATAAAAAGACTGAAGTACTGATACACACTACAGCATAAATGAACCTTAAAAACATTATCCAAAGTGAAAGAAGTCAGACACAAAAGCTCACATATGGCAAAAGTTCACATATAGTATGATTCCATTTATACAAAAGGTCCAGAATAGGCAAATTTATGGAGACAGAAAGTAGATTAGTGGTTGCCAGGGTCTGGGGAGTGAGGACCGGGGAGTGAGTGCTAATGGGTTTGGGATTTCTTCTGGGAATGATGAAAACGTTCTGGAATTAGGCAGTGGGCATAGTTGTACAACTTTGTGAGCATACTAAAACTCACTGATCTGTGCACTTTAAAGGGTGAATTTTACGGCATGTGAATTATATCTGAAAATTGATGGATGAATGAATGATGCATCTGCGTGGGAGTGGAATTGCTGGGCCATATGGTAACTCTATGTTTAACTTTTTGAAGAACTGCCAAACTGTTTTCCAAAGTGACTGCACCATTTTCCATTCCCACCAGCAGCAATGTGTTAGGGTTCCAATCCCTCCCCAGCCAAAAATTTAAGAGATACTAGAAGACAAATCTGCAACAAAGTCTATAGGGAACAAATGTAAAATGCTGAGGTTTTCGCTGTCTTAGGAGTATGTACATGTGCTTGTTTGCAGGTTTCAGAGAAAATCCATCGATGGAAGCTTTGGTTCCAATGACGGTAAGAAAAATCCCTGGTTTCAATTCAAAATGATGTCAAATAGCATGGTGACATCCCAGCTGGTGCTGCCCTTATCTCTCTGGCTTTTGCACTTTACAAACACTTCCTTGATTTCTATGCCACAGAGTAGTCCAATCTGCAGTCTTTCTATGGAAAGCAGAGCTAGTGAGAACCAGTTTTATAACTGATAATTATTGCAATGTGGAGCTCACACTAAAAATCTTTACTTGGAGTGTCCCTTGTAGTTATCCACAGATCATTTACCAGCCATTCATCTTTTTTAAAAGTTTAATTGTTTCTAGGACATAATTGTTCACAAAGCTGATTTGTGAACAATAAGAAGAACTTATTATGTCAACTCTAATACAGAATTTACTTTTCCCAAACTGAGATAGAGGCTTTTTTAATTTAAGTATCTAGAAAACAGAAATATTTGAGACTAGCAAGCATAGTAAAAGGTATAGTAACTTTAGGGAATCCAGAGTAATCAAATCTCCAACAATTGTAATATTTTCTTTCTTCCACTCTGAGAGTTTGAACAAAGGAATTCAATTGCCTGATCTTTTTAACAAAACTTAAAAAATTTAAATGTCCTCATTTTCGAAAAGTCTAAATCAGCATGAGTTAATCAATGCTCATAAGCAGTTTGGCATAGAGTGAGAATTTGGAAAAGGAATGATGAAGTGGGACTTGATTTTTAAGTCACACGTAGCAGATGTTTAAGTTTTATGTTTCCACACTTAAATGAGTGCACAGAATCCTAGAAAGATGTAAACTCACTCCCTACCCCCATCCAGCAGGAACATTTCTCCTTTTGTTGGAGGGCTTGCTTTATTTTTTACATTCGACTTTCTTAATGTCAGCATGTCTATTTTTCCAGCCACCCAGGCACTTTGTTTTAATAAACATTCAGCTGCCAATATAAAAGACTGTAAAAGAACACCTGCTCTCATGGCTTCAAATGCTAAGTGCTCCTTTCCCTTTTAGTCATAAAATGCTTAAAAGAATTTGTATTCTTTCTGGATCTCATCTGTTTTCCTACAGTGCTCCCAGGTTTTGTTATTACTTTAGGCTTAGTTGAACTTAGGCCTAAATTCAATTGGTTGGACCCCACTAGGTACACTCTGAATGGTGGCCTGTTATATTTTATTGTATGAGTGAAGTCTTTTTATTGTTATAATAATAGTTAAAGGAATTCCATGTTAAGAAGGGTCTCCTGGACATTGAAGCATAAGTAGACAGAGCTGGGACTTAAGCCAGATCATGGTTCGGGATCAGGAAGCCTCTGAAAATTAGCTAAGAGCTGGAGGCACCCTTCATATGGCAAGCAGGAATAAGTGAGAGACCAAAAGCAGTAAAGTTGTGTCATTAAGATTCATGTAGCTACAAGTAACAACAGTAACAACAACAATAAAATGTGTCTCAAACATGCTTTATCAGTAAAGATGCTCCTATCCCTGAAAGTTGAGCAGAAGGATGGACTTCAGGATCGATTGGATCCAGTGGCTCTAGTCCATTTTTCTGCCATTCTCTTGGCTTCGGTTTACTCCCCAGGCTGGAAATGAGATGGGTCGAGGCTCACACCCTCACCTGACAACTTCAGAGAGAAGCACTTTTTCCAAAGCCCCCAACAACTTATCCTCATGTTTCATTGGCCTAGAGTGGATCATATACTTATTGTTAAACTAGTCACTGCAAGGAATAGATTTACCTACACATCAAACAAACTTAAACTTTTAAAATTAGGGTGAGGTCCTCTTTCTCTGAGACCAGGGTTTCTCCAAGTCAATATTATTGACATTACAAGCCAGATAATTCTTTGCTGTTGAGGGCTATTCTGTACATTACAGGATGTCTAATAGCATCCTTCACCTCTACCCACTAGATTCCTGTAGGATATTCCCTCCTTGTGACAGCTAAACATGCCTCCAGACATTGCCAAATGTCTGGCAAAACTGTCCCCTCTCCTCCTTCTGCTTGAGAACTACTGACCAACGCAGCAGCTGCCAGGCACAAGTGAGGATAACTGGACAAAATGCCAGCTTAGATAGGAAGTAGGGAACAGGGATGCTCACACAAAGGGCTTTGAAATAGGAGGAAAATAAGGAAACTTTGTAATGCAGAGAGGCCACAGGGAAAGATGGCCCCACCTTCAATGGTGACCACTAGTGAGCCAAGACCTGGATGCTTAAAACAAGAGCAGAAGACAAGCTCTGCCCAAGGGAAGAACCAGTTAGTGACTTTTTTAAGCACTTCAAACATAGCATTGAGAAATCAGCCAGGAGCAAGAGACAGAGGCAAGTGAGGACCATATCTGAACGCTAATGTGAGACATCCAGGGGAGGAACCTTTGGAGAGGAGCAAGGACACAAAAATGACTTTTCCTCCCAAGGCCAGGTTCACGGTGTCTGTGTAGCACAGGAAATTCAATGGAGCTCAGAACTACAGGAAATGCCCTGGAATTGTGTCCAGAGAATGCTAGAAGCAGCTTCTGAAAGGGTAAGGGAATCCCACTGGACTTCTCATGTTGTCTGCCCACATCGTTGTGGAGCTAGACATCCAAAGAACTTGGCCTAACACTTTCATGTTAGGTACGACTGGGGTGGAGGACATGGAACCAGGTCCTGTAAGTTGCCCAGTTGGCAGCAGCTCTGTTCTAGTCAGATAGTGATAGGAAGGCTATATATGGAAATCTGGAGGCTACTTTGCATTTTTTTCTTTGATATACCTGCAGTTCTTTAATTAAGTTGTATTTGAAAAATGTCAATGTTGGCTCCAATTATACTGAAAAGCAAAAGGACTTTTTTCATACTTCATGGGATGAAGGAGATAAGACCCTAGAGCCTGGGTAAGAGGGAAATAGTGTTGGTAAAGAGCTGCTCCAGAGGCTTTGAAGGGATTTTTTCACTGTGGATTGAATGACTGGACACTGCATGCTCCAACCATTACTTAATCCTTAAGACAGGGCCTCTGTGATCACCTGAAGGGTACTAAGAAAGACTGTGCTCTGAAAACATTTCCTCCACTTGCTCTATCAGCAGAGAAACCCCACATTTCACATCATTGTTAAAGAGCCTCTTCAGAAATTCAATTACCAACTGGGAAGTTATCCTAATGAAGCCTCCCCCACGGGCCTCTGGGACCACATGAGCTGCCACAATGAACCTGGGGCGCAGCATACGAGGAGATTTCTTCCTCACGTGAGAGAGCTCGACAAGCCTGACAAGTTTGTAGACCTAAGAACCAAATGGCCAACCCAAACCTTCCCTGGATAGAGCTGTTACTGAATCAATCTCTTAGCAAGGAGCAGGGTCTATCGGGGAGAAGACAACGGGTATGCTGAGTTTGGAGGATGCCAGGAGCACGGGCCATCGTCAGGCCCTGTGGCAAGGGCTCTCAATTCTGCTCCTGCCTTTATGCTCTTCTTTTTCAAAATTTCTTTGACTTTTCTTGCCCAGTTTTTTTTTTTCCTAGAGGAATGTTACTTTTACATTTATCTGCAAAGATGAATGATTTTCTTCACTCTCTCCTCAACTTTTGAAACAAAGCACAAGACTAGTTGGGGTAGGTGGCCAACTGGCATCAAAATAAAATGTCATGGCAGCCAGTGCACATCATTTCTGACTCTCTCTTCAGCTTCCAACCTCCTGAGTCTTAGAGGCATAAGGGGGCCAGAACAGCTATAAATATGAAGTCCCTGAAGGATCCAAGTGTGCTCAGAATGAAATGAAATTTTTCTCCTCACGTATAGCACAAAAAGCAAGCGTGCAAGCCTATCCTGTTCTATGTTAGTGAAGTAGACAGATGGCAAGGGGCTCATGCTCAGAGAAAAACACACCAAAACAAGTTTCCTTATTAAGATGAGATCATTCACAATCTTATATGTCTGCTATTCCCAGCCAGAACATTTTGATCTGCCCTATAAACTGATAGCTTGTGTTTAATTTTGCTTTCTAAATACTATACAGTTAAATAAAGATATGGCTTGCCTTCCGAGACCATACTTGAAGTTTGGAAGGAAGTGCTTTAGTTTTTGCATTCTTAAAGAGGACAGAGACATAAGCATAACTAACAGAATACTGTTATCCCATGTTGGCCAATCTCATATTTAAGTTGTGCATATAAAATTCCACAGAGTTAAAACATTTTTGGGTGCTGGCAATGGTATTGCACGTGAAAATCTTGGTGCTCCTGTCCGTCACAGAATCCATGGCATTGCAGTTGCCTCAAAGTCAACAGGGCCAGCAATGACACCCAAACCAGATCATGCTCAGTTATGAACCAGAGCAGAGTACAGAAGTCAGTAATTCGTCAAGTCTGAGCAGACCTACACAGCTGGCTTTATCTTTTCAATGAAGTCGCCACCTAACAAAACAGTGATTGTTTTTGTTTGTTCGCTCGCTTTGATTTTAGTTTTTCTTTTGTTTTTCTTTTCGTTACACACAAGCAAAACATTGGCTCCCACAGAACCATTTCAACAACCTCCTGCCACAACTGAACTCAAGCATTGTCCTACACACACTTCTAATTCCCATATCAGAGGGCTTCCAGTAACACCAAAATGCCAAAAATCTGGGATTTTATGATTTTAGTGCCATTCGTCATTTACTATTTGCATGTTTAATAATTTTCTAAATTGCATTTAGACAAAGG